TCTCTCCTGCCGCATATTTACACACCTAGAGTTAATCGGGAAACACCACTCTCTGCACATCTTACATCAGATAAGTCGGATCGAAAGGTGTCAGCTTGAATGTCATGGATCATGTGGGTCATAACTTACCATTAAGACACACTGTATATCTTAATACAACTATAGCTTTTGTACAGCTGTAAAATATGACTCGGGACATACAAATAAGACAACGACGGGATAAACTCGTTCATCGATCGAGCAGATTATTCACAATTTGTTTCTGTACAACTTGGTCGGAGAAAGAAAAACTCTAATTTGTTCAAATCGAAGGCATTCTGTCACATCTGGGATGGGACCGTCGGAGAGAAAAGATACTAAGATATCGCCCCGTGACCATACTATGAACAATAAAGGTAACCAACGAATCTGCAAACCGCTACGATATTATGAAGGACCAAGAAACTTTGCGAAAGCTCAGAGGAGAAACAGAAGCGACAAAATGACTCAAGACATCGCATACAATAGCAGCATAACGTTTATTAGCACATCAAGGATATTATAATGCACTATAATTGCTTAAATTTAAAATGTAAATATATATCGCGTATATTCGTATAGTTTTAGGTACGTATACAGATGTGTGTGTGAAGAGAATCGTTACAATACCTAGACGAAGCATTTGACGCAAAGTAAAATATAAAGTCAATCGCAAAATAAACATAATATATGTATCGTTTTTTATCAGATCGAATTTTGAATGTGCGTCAAATGAGATCTCCTCTCATTATTGGATCTTTCGTAAACATATTTTCGCCATACTTGCCAAGTATCTGGAAGATCGTAAAATTGATCGCGACTTAACTTTAATCATTCGTAAATAGTTTGTGATTCAAGGCGGCAGTTGTTGCGCTTAAAATATAGAAAATACTGAATCGTAACATTATTATTATCATCATTATATGCATATATATCCTGCGGGAAATGTGTAATTTTTCTATATGATAAGAATAAAAATTGTCGCGTGATGTAATTGATATTTGTAGTACCGCGTTATAGGGAGAGATATGATGAGACATTTAGAGCGGAAGAAGATATAATATTCAGTTCTAACCACGCTACAATAGTATATTCTGGATATGTTTCGTATATCTAAAACATCAGGAAAAAAGATATGCAAATCGAATATATATATATATGTGTTTGTGTATGTGCATATATATATGTATACACATACACACACCTCTAATGACGTAATAAAAATTCATGGTAATCCTCTCAAAACATACCTACCCTGCTCTACAACACACATAACAATTCATTATAAATATTATATATATATATATATATATATATATATATATATGTGTGTGTGTGTATACATATATAAGATATTTCTACTTATTAAAAAAAATATATGTATGTGTATATATATATATATATTCGCTTATAATTTTAATTACAAAACAATAACAACTTCCTCCTCTCCTTCCATGTAACTTCCAGTCTTTTGAAATCCTTAATTCGAGTTCCTCTCACAAGCATTTACGGCCTTCCTCACAATCGCTTTGCTGCGTTAAAATGCACATTCGGCATGCAAATATTGTTGCGTTCTTCGCGATTCATCATACAATCTCGAGCATTACCGATTATCAACTATTGGGGAGAAACGCATTATATATAAAATATATATTATAAAATAATTCAACTTTATCGAAAATCCTAACGCGAGATAAAGGCGTATGAAAACGCGTATATATAACATACGTAGTAATTCTTTCTGTGATAGATATTGATTTGATAGATATCGTCCGAAATTGCCGAGTGTCACTGCGATTACATTCACGACAATCAACGACGATCCTAACGATAAACTCTAACGGACTAGCTACGACATTCATCACTTATGTCGATTAATATGCGACGCAAATCGGGACCCCGATTCTCTCATCGCTCCCTTCGTACACTCTCGTGAGACCGATGCGAAAGATAAGAGTGAGAGATATGTGATACAGCGACTATATATCGATATGTACATCACACATACACACATTGGTATCGTGTAACAAGATAATGATACTGACAATCTAAGGAACTATATGTACTCTCTGTCTAATCGTAACATGCGCAAAATTCCCTAATACTTTCTACGCGACGAGAGGCCGATGTTAGCGCACCGTTACCGGAAGTTCTACGAATTATCGTTTCTCGCTGCGAAGGACTGTCGGCCTAATCCATTAGATTAGCCACGAATAACCGCCGATAACCGGGAGCACCGAGCCTGGCCCGAATAACGAACTCGGATCGTTAGCTTTTTGCGCAACGATTGTGCTTGCGCGGCACGTCTTCCGCCTCGCGTCGGCAAAGATTGAAATCCAGACCTGACGGATTTTATTACCATAGGATAGGACGGGGAGGGGGGGAGAGGACACACCGCGGCGCGCCGCGTTTCCGCGTTTTCGAGACGTGGGAGGAACAGACGACGCGTCGAGCGCAATCGACTCCATCTCGACGCCGCCAAAAATCGAGGAAAAATCGGCAGATCCCGATAAAACGGACCAGCCCCCCTCTAAGCCCAGCAGCGCTGGCGAGCATAGCACGACCGTCTATCCCGAGCAATTCACTTTCTTCTCGGTGTTCCTGACGCTAAAGCACGTTCCCGGGGTCGATCGAGCCGCGGAAGATCTACACCGCGCGCGCGAGCACGCTGCACGAAGCGTTGCTCTCTCTTTTGCGGGGAGAAAACGCGTGATTTATCTGTTCTTTCGGCAGCAGGACCCGGAAGGTTCGCGTTGTGTGCTGCTACAGTATTGCGCGCGCCCGCGCGATAAAATACTCTAAAGCGAATAACGGAGATATATAAATACCGTTTGTATCGATGAAACATTGCGCGAACATACGCGGAGCATATAGATAACTCTCTAATAGATAACTTCAAATACCGATAACATTCCGGATACTCGATTAACTCTAACAGTTTATTTCGCGCGTAATAAGCAAAGTGCGTTTCCTCTCAAATGTTTTTATTATTAGTCAATACTATAACAATGCGAAACAAGTTTATACGTAAACTCAGGTAATCTGCCAACGATTACTATATCTTATCACTCTCTGAGCGCTATCGTAATAAAATTTTAAACAGTGCAAACAGAGTGTGGAGATAAAAATACTCTCTCTAAGAATATACATCTTCGACCTTCTAAATTTCTTGGAGTGAAATTTCGCTCGAAAAGTAGGCTGAGTCACTCGAATTTTAATTATTCTTGTTCATTCTTACAGAGCGAATTCTCCATTCTGAATCGTCGAGTGAATATTTTCACTCGAAATTCAAGAGTGAATCTGATGCGTTCCATCGTCAGAGAAACTAATTCAAATAAATGAAACATCCGCTTATACGGAGTTAGAATCCATTCTAATCTTGAGTGAAGCATTCATTCTTGTGATTCCGAGTGGCAGTATTTTCATTATCGCCTCGAGTGAAAATACCATTACTTTTCACTCCAAGAGAGAATGCAGCCAAGGGCCCATAGACACTTTGCCCCATTGCCAAAAACTTTTAATATTCCAATGATATACCGATTTAAAACTTACGTCAAGTTTAGGAATATAAAATTGCGATATTATTTTCATAGTCGTTTGATAGATAAGCGGTCCAAAAGATCCAATATCTCTATGATATAACTACAGTTTTTTAAAATTGCGGTACTTTAGAGCTTTATCCTCCAAATGATTATGAAATTAATATCAAGATTTTATATTCTTAATATTCACTCATCCTAAGCTGCAAACTAGTGTAGCATTTATTACAATATTCAAAGATTTACAGAATCCCATGGGAAAGGGGCGAAACTTGACCGAGTTTTAAAGTCCACGCCGAGTAAATTAAAAATATAAAATATAAATATTATTTTCATAGTCGTTTAGGAGACAAACAGTTCAAAAGATTGTATAATAATATAGCTATTTGCAGAGATTACAATTTTTTGGACCATTTGTTCCCCAAACCACCACAAAAATAATATTGAGATTTTATATTCTTAATATTTACTCGTCCTAAGCTTCAATGTATCATTTATTGAAATATTCAAAATTTTACAAAATCTTGTGGAAAAAGGTCGAAGTTTTGACCGATTTGAAATTCACATCGAGTAGCTTAAGGAAAGTAGATTAAGAATATATAATCTTGATATTATTTTCACAATTGTTTGGGAGATAAATAAAAGATTGTAATCTCAATAGTATGATTATTTGTTGAGATTGCAAGACTTGTTTATCTCCCAAACCACCATGAGGATAATAAAGAGATTTTATACTCTTAATATTGACTCGTTCTAAGCTTCAAATCATATACTGGAATATTCAATGTTTTACAAAATCCCATGGAAAAGGGGCGAAAGTTGGCCGCACTCTTTAGAGAGTAGATACCACGACGAGCAGACCAGCTGCATCTAATTTTTGCGCACTTTGTTGCGAAGCCCGTGTTGTAACACTCGAGCGTCTCTACGTATCGAAGATCGGACATGCGCGGAAAAGCGGAATCGGGCGTAAAAGCTGCGGTAACCGGTTTCTGTTCACGGCGCCGTCAGTTGTTATGTACATCCTCGCCGAACCTTCCAGGTCGCGATCTAAAGGATACACGCATGCCTCTCGGCACACGAGCAACCGTGAACATACGTAAATAACAATGAGTTGCTAAGAGAAGGCAGCCTAATACACATACGAGGAATCGTTGCAAACACCGTGACCTTCTTCGAGGTGCCATTCCGCTATACATATATACAACTCGCCTCACACGCTTCCCGTTGTTTTCCGTCGACCACGCGCGAACGACACGCGCCCTTTCGAACGCGGGAGACCTGCTCTAGAGAGTGCGTGTCCCCCAATGACCGCGTCCCAGTCGTCGCGTTAGCGGTGTTTCAGGCATACGGTAAAAAGACAGAGACGTAACACAACGGTTATGCATGTACACGTGGGCAGAAAGAAGCGTCATGCGGTGCAGCCAAGCGTGCGATGCTGTTTACCTGCGAAGGGCACGTCGCCGAAGTATTCCTCGACGTTGTCCGTGGACATGCTCTTGTCGGAGAGGGACACGCTGGAGAGCGAGCCGCTGGACGCGTCCAACGATCCACCGGCGGGAAACTGCAGTAGATCCTCGTCTGTTTCCGTTTCCATGTCGCGGGACCTTCGTTTGTACACCTATCGACACAGAGATCAACGACCTTCGTGAGGGAGGAGCGAGAGAACTCGCTTCCGCGATTCCGCTCGCGATCAAGTGTCGCGCGAATGCTGACGTACGAAAGGACACAGAGAGTGCGCTGTCGCGTTCCTGCGCTTGTTTTTACGCGCCTTTTTATTTTTAATATCTGCCGTGCAAAATCGCACTGATCACGTTGTCGGATTTATGACAGTTGCGTTTTACAATTTGCCCGCGACCACTATTACTCTGCGTATCGCCGTTATCGCGAGATTGTCAACATTCGTATTTTATACACGGATATTTACAGTCGATATAAAAATCCCCTCCTGCGTGCCGCCACTGCCGCAACGCGGTAGCAAATCGTACGATGGAAAAATGAAGCCAATCCTATCGCGATGAAAATTTATTGGAACGGAACGTCCGCGCAGGCACGCGAGAAATATACCATGTAAATCAGAGGGAAAATAAATACGCGTGGTCAACCTAAAGCATATTTATATATTCGAATAAAAATCAGGCATCTATACTTTTTGACATTAATTCTTTCGATTCCGCTGTGACGACGAGTCATAAATGACAAATATAATATGATTTTTCCAAACACTGTCTCGCGAATTTTACGATACACGAATTGCCGCCTCAAAACGTTGCAATGCGACGCTACATCGAAATCATTATACCCGACTATGCGCGTCAAAGGGAATTTTTATTGTTTGGAAAAAAAAAGGAGAACCAACAACAGCAGGAAAATCTCTTCGCACAATGGCGAGATAATTAAAGTTACAACTCGACGTGTATAATTCTCGCGCGCGCGTCACATCTATGTTGAATATTTATATTTCGTGATATTAATAACCAACTGACGAGAGCGGTTAACCTAACGCCATTTACGTTTAATAGCGACGCCTGTAAACCACCGCGAATTGCGTTACGCCACTCAAAGGCAGACGTCGCGTTTTGATTTACTAAGTGCAAACTGCGAAACGACAGCTCGCTATTTCATCGCGCGCGTCCCAGAAAGCTCTAACGCAATTAAAATCCGACGTCACACAGGACCGACAGACACGCTCGCGGTTTCGTCTGTAAAACGCCGCCGCCGAGAGCATCTCGAGGAGACAGCCGGAAACCGTCGCTACAAATTCGCGAATTTCTCTCTCTCCTATGGCAACGGAGAACGAACATTCGCGAGGCGAAGTCAGACAGGCATAGAAGCCGAGGGCTTCATTATTCAAAGGGTGTCGGCGTCTTGCATTCTGCCGCTCTACTGGATTCGCGGAAGTTGACGGGTGAGAGGCAACCATCCGTAGACGGTTCTCCCATCTCCACGTCCTTCTCCACGTCCTCCGACAGGTTCACGAGAGACCCTCTGCCTCCTCCGACGCGGCCGCGCTGTCTTCGGTTGCCGTAATAGCGTTCGATCCCCGTCATCAAATCATATTCAGCCGCTCGACGAATTGCGAATACGCGTTACCCGATCCTTGGATCCTGTTATTAGTCGCGAGGGTCTACATGGCCGGCTCCCAATTTGCCGAGGTATATCTTGTCGACTGAATTTTCCGACACGTGTCACGTCAATGCCCACACTACGGTGAAGACACCAGGCCGACGAGTCTCTCGTTTCTTCAAGACCTTGAGACTAATTTGAATTAATCCGGAAACGTGTAGGATCGTTCCCTTCCTCCACACAGTGTGACGTGGAACAAAGGCGTTTCGTGGATCATCGCGTATGAGAAAAGACGCATGAAACGTGCGCGTGAAGAGATACATCAAATAGAACGATTTGCGCGACGAAGGCATCGATCAGCTCTGGAGCAAGCGATGCCGCGCAGCAGCGAGGCTACACAGAGCTCCGACGTCTTCGCCGACTCCTTTCCAGATATATTCACTATGTGATATTTCGTCAAGCGTGTATAGTCGACTGAAAGACACGGATTGCGAGTGCATATAGGGAACGGCAGAGAGAAGCCGGGATGGATGACGGAGAGACATCGCGGAAAGAGCAAAGGGAGAGAGAGACAGAGATATAGAGAGATAGAGAGATGGTGAGGACGAGTGAGTGAGAGAGGCAGAAGTGCGGTGGAAGCTGCGTGGTGCTATGGATATCCATTCGCGGTGGATGGAAACTGAACGTAGTCGGTCTCACAGCAGAACGATCATAGGGCGATGCGCAAACGGCAGTAAACGAGCGAGACAAGCCGAAGGCAGCGGCAGCAGCGACGACGAAGACAGCAACGGCGGTAGCTGGTGCGAGCAGAAGGGGTCGCCCTCCTTGTAAATCGCATCACAGATCAAACACAGCTTGTATATTAAACGTAACCTGGTAAGACGCCGCGACTAGACTGCTTATCTACTGTCCACGATACACACGCCGGGTCAAGTGAGAGCGTCAATGACGACCGTTAGCGAGCGTGGGTCGCCGGGTTCCTCGCGTTGCGAACTGCTCGACAGACGTAATGACGCAGCGCGGTCGCGACGCAATGTCGAGCGACAACGAAGATTTTCAGGGCGCTCGCGGTTTCGCGCGGACGACGATTAAACCACTGCGGCACTTCGGGGGTCTACCACGTCCTGACGCGTCACCGGATATATAGACCTTCAGTATTCGCGACATATGAGACGGATGCGCGTCGTGCACGCATACACACACACACACACACACACACACACACATGCACACATGAGTTTCTGCCGATTGCCGTACTTCCAAAGAGCAGCGGAGGATGCGAAATTGAACGACGCCATTGCACACGCTCCGCCGCATGTCGCGCGACAAATCGCAGAAACGCGCTTCCGCCGTTTGCCCGTCGTTTGAGTAGGAACCGCGGAATTCTCGCGGGGAATCGAGAATCCCCGGGCACACGCTCTCTCGCCCGACTTAACGCGAGGGATCAGAAGCTACGTCAGAAGCTCGAGGAACACTCGTCACCGGTTCATAAGTCGCGCGATTTCCTAAGACGATCTTAGACCGCGCAGAGAGTACCGGTCTTTTCGTAGAGACGCGGGGAGACATTGAGAAATCGAGAGATCACACGTGTACCTCTTTCGATAATGCGATAAACTTCGAAGTCACGCCGGCTGAAATTACCGAGTCCCATAATGAGACGTTACCGCGCCAGTCGGCCAGCGCTGTTAATGACCAGTCATTAACTAAGCGCGATTACTTTTTGCGTCGTACATTCGCCAACACGTTCACCTGCGCTCGCGGAATGACGATTACAGATAGGAGAGCTCGCACTTACCTGACTGAGCGGACGAATGCGCTCGTGGATAGACTTCTCCGCTTGCATGGCTGATGGTGGCGGATGATCAGGCGTGGGTGGTTGAACGTAATGCGTAGGACTGGTCGGCAGCAACATCTGCACGCGTTTCAAACGCTTGTCGGTGGCCTCACGATTCTCCAAAGCGGGTTGCTCGTCGATCACTTCGCGCTTCTCGTCGAGAAGACTCTCTTGGGAAGACTTGAGGGTGAGGAAGGCGTTCGACACGAACGTCTGCTCCTGGATCACCGCGTCGCCGTCACTGCAGGGCGATTTGTCAGCGCACGAGCTGCTTTCCGGTTCGTAGCTCTCGTATGCGTGCCTGCGTAACTTCCTGCGTGGATTCAGCATCTTCACCGGCCGGTTCTCGTAGATGGACGTGATGGCCACCGGCTCCACGTTGGACTCGCGTTTATCATCGGTACCGACCAGCCGCGACTTCATCTCCACGTATTGGTCCACGCTTCTGGTGACGTGGCGCAGCTGATCGCGCCGTTTCTGAAGCTGCTCGAGATCAATGTGACTGCGCGCACCGCTGCGCGCCAAGAACAAGTACTCGTAGTTGCTCGGTCCCACCGAACTGTCGGCGGACAAGGACATCTGCGTCTGCAGGTGCGTCGGGGACACTGACAGATTTCGTCTGGGTGGCTTCTTAGGTGGTGTCGGCTACGGCAAGAGAGACGCATATTTCTCTTTTGCGCTCGCGGATCTATCTTTTATGTTCGTCTCGATCTTCTCTCCGCAAAAATTATCCAAGTAGGAAAAACGACTTTTTTCTGACCAGTAATTGACCAGAAACTCTGATTACTGGCCTCTAGTTTCTGGCCAGTTTAGTCAACGCTTGTCTCACCAATAACTAGACGATAAAATTAATGAATTTCTGAACAGTTTCTAACCAATTTTTTATCAGTTTTTAACCAAACTTTTTTATACAAAATTCTGTCAAATAGTTTTTAATTCTATATTATAAAATATTATATTTTACTATTTAGTTTTCATTAGACAATAAAATTTTCCAGCATTTATTATTATTTCTATTGCCTAGTTTCTGATCAATAGCTGACCAAAAAATTTCTGGCTGTCCAGAAATATTTTTCTGTTCAGTTTTTAAACAGTTGGCTAATAAGTTCTAGCCAACAAAAACTGGCCAGTTTCTGCTTAGTAATCAGTTTTTCTCTAGAAATTATTCTCTTCGGGTAGACTCACGATATTTCGAGAAGCAAAAGAAAAAAGCTCTTCTCGACCTTCATACATGTGAGACTTTCCACATTCGCGACGTTAATTTCGATTAACCGGGACTCTTACCGAGACTTTACTGTTGGAAGCGGGGCTGTGCAGCGAACTAGACAAGGGTGCCATCGGCAAGTAAATCCCGGCAGCGCTGGAATCGTTGGGCAAACAACGACGGTCCCGTGGGCTTGGTCCGCCGACGCTCGAGGATGAGGACACGCTCAATTGGTCGGACTCTCTGCCACCCCCGTATCCCGTGGGCAATGTCAAGGACAAGTCCTCCGACACGAAGCTACCCTCCATTGTGCCGCGTGGCACCGGTGGAGTTTGATACAGTCCGCTATCGGATCCCCTGTGCAACCAAAACTCGATGCCTCAGTGGAACTGATAGAGTGATCCGTTGTCTCGGAGTCGATGAAATCGACTCCGTAGATCGAGATCCTCCAAAGCGTAGGATTGCATTCGACCGACCCGCGCGAGAAATGGAAACACTTCTCGCGTTTGTATGCAATTTCAGCTTGTGCGCAAACCTCTCTCTTTCTCTCATTCACTCACTCACTCATTCATTCACTCACTCAGTCATTCATTTACTCATTCACTCACTAACTCACTCATTCACTCACTCACTCACTCACTCACTCAGTCACTCTTTTTCTCTCTAAATTGCGGTTTGTCGAAACTGCAGTGTTTGCAAGCTTAGTTCTCGAATCCACATCAAGTACGCGTCTCGGATACTCGATGACGAATGCTCTACGAGAATGCATGCATATATTGGCTAACGCTAATCTGAACTACGACTTCGGAAAACAACGACTGACTCATTATCAAGAAGTTATGTTGTATCTATACAATTGCAACTCTATACTGTGCAGAGAATGTATGCATGTCATTACCGTGTAGTGTCGGGTGGTAATGGTGTTCTTTTGGTAGTGTTTTGTGGTATATCTTCAGGAGTTTGGTCGGAACTTTCGAGAGTATTTATAGAGTTGAGAGTGTCGGATAGGGACATAAAGACGCTGTCGAAGACGGAACTGGGGTCGGAGTCCTCTGTCTGCTGGAGGGCCCTCCGTACTCCGTTCACTGGCTCCCCGTTCTGCTCGTCTTCGCTGAAAACGCGCATCCCGGTACATCAACCGACATCGATTACCAAGGATCGCACATTCAAAGCCAAGCAACACATAATCTCGTATGTAACGAATAAAAGTCGGGGTAGTAGCGCTGCTAATTAAACTACCGGTAAAGGATTCAACCAACGCTCATGGAGATCATCTTCTATGCTAAACCTATCTCAGTTTGCGACACTAGCGGCATTCGATCTCTTAAAATTGTGTCATTTACCGATACATTCCAGTGCGCGCGTATCGTTGAGCAAATTAAAACGCTCGCGAGAGCGAAGAACAAGAATACGCCGTACAATCAAAAAGAATGCAAATGTAAACCGCGAAAAAAAGACAGCGGTCTCCATTGACGGCTCGGTCGCGGAGACATTTACAGGCAAGCAGCGGCTTTTTAACGAGGCCACGTTGACGAGGACGAGACGCAGCGAACGCGAAGAGGAAGAGGAGCGGAAAAGGAGTCGGCCCGAGAGTTGCAAAGGCCGCACGCTCATAGCACGAGGGAGAGGGCGATGGTTATTAGTTTTGTGCTGAGACGGGCTAACATTTACATTGTTTAACGTGATGGATTCATCTCGAGGCGGCCAAGCCGGGGCTACCGACATCAAACATTGATGGTGGAGAAGTGCGGAGAACATCAACGGCAACCAGCACCCACGTTCTGTCGCCCTCTCTTTCTCTCTCTTCATCTTTCTCTCTTTCTCCCGCTTGACACATACACACACATCGTGTGGTCCTCTTTGTCCTTCCTTCGCTCTCTTACACTCCACTTTTCGTTCTCGGCACTCCACTCTCTTTCACCCCTACGTCTTCGTCCCTATCTCTCCTTCTCTCTCGTTCGCGGCGCTGCCGAGCCAACTAGTCGGGTTTAGCAGCTAGAGCGGTAGCACTGGCACGGAGTACCAATGGGGTGATGCAGCGGGGGTGACCCAGGGGCGAACGAGGCGGTCGGACCCACCATCGCCTGCCTACATCAGGAAAATTAAACCAAGCCAAGCGGTGCTTAACGCGCTGGGGCTACACGCGGCGGCCGTGCCACCACCTCTCCCAACCTCTTCCTCCACCTCCGTTTTCCACTACCCTCCCGCGCCACCCCACACCCAGGGGTTCCTTTTTCGGTCCGAGAATCTCCACCTCCAACCTCCTCCACCTCCTGCGGAGTAACAGCAGCAGCAGCGCCAGCCGTCATCATCCCGGTGCTTGGCCGGTACTCACTCATTCACTCCGTGTTCCGTCCATGTCTACGCTTTTGTTTGTCCAACATCTCCTATATTAAAGCACCGCGGCGGCCACGGCGGCCGCTCTATGCGCCGCACCTATATTATACGCGGGGAGTCCTTTTTGCAAAAATATCACGAGCCGCCGCGCTTATCCACCGCGATGCGCGATGCCGTCGCGGTTTTTATTCCCTTCGAGAGAGACCATCAGGCAAGGAGACACGGTGAATCCGAATGAATGCGGGATTGGGAGGGGAAGATACTTCCTCACTGTACGCGCGAAGTCGCGATCCGCTCCGATGGTAATGTGGCGAGAATACGCGCGTGTGTGTGTGTGTGTGTGTGTGTGTGTGTGTGTGTGTGTGTGTGTGTGTGTGTGTGTGTGTGTGTGTGTGTGTGTGTGTGTGTGTGTGTGTGTGTGTGTGTGTGTGTGTGTGTGTGTGTGTGTGTGTGTGTGTGTGTGTGTGTGTGTGTGTGTGTGTGTGTGTGTGTGTGTGTGTGTGTGTGTGTGTGTGTGTGTGTGTGTGTGTGTGTGTGTGTGTGAGCAGTAATAGGAGAGCCTTCTCGTAAGAGTACATTAAATGAACGTGATCTGTTCGAGCAACGCGTTACCATGCGACGCACGTCGCCAAAGTTGACGTTAATTAATACTCTAGTTTTTGTACGCGCAAGGGTACTTAAACGGTACGTACACACGTCGATATTATTACGCTGTCTTACGAGTCGCTAATTATTCGCGTATAATATTCGCGCAATATTCCGCTCGACATAACTTAACATGTTCAGTTACCGCTACCGGATTAATATCTCGCTAGTGTCACGAACACGTGCTACATGTTCTATGCAAGCGCGAGTCGTTATCTGCTCGCGGTAGCTTCACGAAGGGGAGAAGTACGATTCAACATCGTATGCACCATAAAAAGTACAGCGCACAATGTGCGCAACACACGCGCGATCGCGCACAAACACACACACATGCGTTAGGTAAAGCGGACGGAGGATACTCACAAGGACATGACGGAAGTGCCGGAAACGCGACGATCGTCGTCCCGAGGCTTATGATAGAACTGCCACTGAGTAGGCGACGTCCCCTCCGCGGGGGAGAGATCATCTCCCGGGCGAACATTTTCGTAGGGGCTGCCCAATGAGTCGCCACCCTGCACCGGAATCGGCGGCAAGTTCTCGCTGTCAGCGTCGCTCTCCACACCGGAGGAAGACCGATGCCCTGTTTGGGTTTGACAATGCGTGTAATCGTACACAACGTTCGCTCATAAACAGCTTCAGCGTAATGTATCGCAGGGCGCAAGAAAAAGGCGCAAAGAGTGAAGATATCGGGAATGCGGACTATTCTGTTTTTTTGACGCGCGATTTTTAATCTGCTTGCGATTGTCAGAGATGAGAGAGTCGACGGCAATCACTTGAGACACGCACAGAACTAACGGCGTATCGTGCCGTGTTCGCGTATTTCGCGGAAGCGGGATTCAAGATTAATCGCATAGTATAACGTTGTGTGAGTACACGCGCAAATTTTTATACCAGGCTAAGAGCAATTTAATTAAACGCGCTGCGGCAAACTAAAAGCGCGCTAGTAAAAGCGCAAACTAGTAGCTTCGCGACCAAGCCCCACTAATTACACAATACCTTATACATATATCGGTCGTGATGTTACGCGAAAATAAATCTCGTGCATGCAAATGCGAGCGTACTTTTTATCACCGCCGTGATATCTTGAGTGACGTGCGGCGGAAACTGTCCCAGAAGATCAAGCACCGTGTTCTGCCGGGAATCCCTAATGCCCAAATCCACTCCGCGATCTAAAAGCGCCCGTACCACTTCCATCTTGCCGCAGAGCGCAGCCTCGTGCATCGCGGTGCCCGCTGACGTTCTCGTATTGACGTCAACTCCAGCGGCAAGGAGAACCTCCACGACCGCTCTGCAACAAAATTATGCCAGCATCTCATTGCGCTTCGCTTTGCGTGTCGCGTGACAATCGTTAATAGAGGAATTTACCATAGTTATGCAAGAATATGATCAACCCACTACCCCTCTTATTAGTGAATAGTCCATATGTCTCTCTACATAAAGAGAAAAACCCAAGCCTTATGGGCGCTTAAAGTTAATTAAAAAACAGTTTTTGTTTTTTACTAGATCCGTCTCTTTTGCCTATCTTTTTCAGGGTTAAACTTGTCAATGATTACCTTTAGAGAGAAGAGAATTGACCACGCTTGACTTCTCGAACGATTACAAAGAACCTCAGTCTTATCTATTTTTCAATCAATGTATCAAATTTTTATCTTTATTCTCTTCAAAACATATTATAATGCAAACATACTATACTCCAAAATGATGAAAAAAAATTTTTTATAAAAAAAATATATTTGTGGATCGAGTCATTTTTACGTAATTACGATCAATTAGCCAGGCGTTTTCACGGAATTATTTAGAATCACGATCGGGATTGAAGTGGGATTAGATTGGCGACAATAAACCGATAAGGTCGTGCGTTTCATTAATCATCGCACAAAACAAAATAAATGACGAGCAAAAAATAAATGAAAAGCAAATGCTGAAAGATAGTATTAGCGATCTTGGCGACTGGCGGTAATTTTCGCGAGTGCAACCATAAGGTCTCGAGCGACGAGACAAAGTTTGGTTCGGAGATTTTGCACGGGGGGTTCCGGTCTAACTGCCGTGGCGTAAGGACGAGTCCGAATTTGTTTGGATGTAATCTGTGATTCTTTTTTTTAAACTTTGGAATTATTTTCAAGCTAAGTTCCAAGGAACAAAGATAAGTTTCAAAGATAAGTTCAAAGATCATCTATTAATCGGACGATGGTATAGCCAAATTAACATAATACAAATATTTTTCGTTGAATAGCGTTATTAGGCACCTAAGGGCAAAGGTCTTATTAGGCACCTGTAATTATATATTTTGAGAGAGAGAGAGAGAGAGAGAGAGAGAGAGAGAGAGAGAGAGAGTTTATTGAGCTTTGAAATGAAAATTCCCTTAGCTTTAGTGATATAAAAATTGGTTGTCAGATTCTAGATATAAAGCAGAAGTAAAATAGAATTATGAACTCGCATCATAAGCTACGATTCAACAGAATGCTCAAAAACATTTTGCTATTTCGGTTTGTCAGTGTCATTTAGCTTTAGATTTACTCGCAGTTTAATAAATTTGCACCAGTATTCACAGCTGCAGCGGTTGCACACTCTAAAATTACATAGCTTCAAGCAATACCTCATTGCTATGGCAACCGACAATTTAGAATGTGAGATTTATCATATGATGTGCTGAAAGTGATAATGAATAATGAAAAGATACACAATTAGGATTAACATAGAAATAATGATGAAGATAAAGATAAAAGAAAAGAAATAAGAGAGAGAGAGAGAGAGAGAGAGAGAGAGAGAGAGAGAGAGAAATCTCGCACGGGCCTCGATGAGAAAGCGCGCGTCTCGATCCGCCGAATCCTCCCCAATCATCGTCATTTCGCAAGCTACCGAAATCCCCCTAGAAATGCATTTGCCGCCAGGCGCCTAATCAAGAAAGCTCAAAACGCAGATTTCGCCCACCTTCTGCCGGGTAGGCCGCGCATCGACTACGGTGACCGCGGTCGTCCGACGCGTATAGGATTGACGGCTGAAGATCGGATTCACATGCACCTATGTTGTTATTACCGTAGCATAGGGGTATTTGTATACTGGCTTACCGAGAGCACCGATATTGAATCCGATAATAGACATTACTCCGCGTCCGCCACCGCCGCCACCCCACCTTCTACCCCTCTCCCGTCCCCCGCTCGTCTCACCCGCCGCCACCCCCTTCCTCCCCACTGCCGCCAACTGATCCCTCTACGTCCCCTCCTCTCCTCTCTGTTCTAGCCCGATATAGCTGCCGCTGGTAGATCCACTAAATATCGTGGTGCTCGCGTGAAACGCGTGCGTGAGCTCGACCGTCGCAATGTACGCACCCCCGTACGTGCTCGCGTGCACGCGTACACCTACTCCCCCAGGGATTCTCATAGCACCCGACAGCGAGGTCTCCTTTCGAAATATCGAGCAGACAGGACGCGAGACCTGTGCTTTCGTTTTAGTCGAGCTTTAGTCGAGAAAATATTTGTAATATGGGAAAGGGGATGAGAATATGGAGTAGGATGGATATATATATATATGTGTGAGACAACAAAACGCGAATTTGATCACGTGTCCACTTAACGTCGTTGACATAATTCCAGCGGATTCACGCGATCGATCGCGTGTGATCAGTTGCACAAGTACATATACTCTGGTAAGCCTTGATCGATGCACTGAGGATCTTGTCAGTCCCGTTACTCCCTTCCTCCGTCAGCGAGTCTGTCGCAGCCGCGGTTTGAGAAACGCTGACCTAGCCCAAATGTTCAAACAGCTCGTGCGTACGCGTTCACACTCGTACAGGCGCAAACGTCTCGCGCGCCGTTATTTAACCAAAATTCGAGCGATAAAATGTCACGTTCTGCACGCTCCCGCTCCTTCCCTTCCTCCCTCCCTCTCTCTCTCTCTCTCTCTCTCTCTCTCTCTCTCTCTCTCTCTCTCTCTCTTTTTCTCACCCTCCCTCTCCCACTCCACGCTGCCACCCCCGCCAATTCTGTTGCACCCTCGCGTCGACATCGACGGAAAATGCAGCCACCGGACTGTATATCGCGATACGATCGCATTATAAGCGGCAAGCGACGGTTAAAGCGATTACCGGCTGCGAGGCTGCATAGAAAAACTGGCGTTATACCCGATTACAATGTGACTGCCGTTTCGTGGCGATTCACGATTCGATTCGACCGCCAACCGGGCTGTTCCGACCGTTCATCCCCTCGCTGTCCGCCACTCCCGTCTCCGTGGCGTCGATTATACACGAAAAAACAAACAAAAAACAAAACTCAACGGGATTACGGACATCGTCCGTAGCATCGTTCTGTTAAACGAGAGTAAATCGCTCGGCGATGGACCAAATGCTATACGCGCAACGGTCCTGAGTAACGGAGATGTTACCACAGCATGTGATAACGCGAAATTATAGAAGTCGCCACCGCAATCCGAAAGACTCTGTATGTGTGCGTGTGTATGAGAGAGAGAAGGGAGAAGGGGAAGCTGGAAGTCTTTCGTAATCGTTGAAGAATACAGCGGCGATATTAATCTCCGCCATCTGATCATATCGGCCTGGCGTAATCGATTATCCGGCTGTTCCTTTGTCATCCCATTACACGGTTCAATTAATCGAATAATATTACGCAGCGAATACACAGTTATGATTACGATATTATTTACCTCACATACGCGCACACAGGTGCACACGTGCAAAATACCCGCACACAGAATGCATTCTTCTTCGTATTCCGATACAATATGCCGTGACTGTCTCGCAGTTGGAAGTATATCGATTATACGATGTTCCGGTATTACGAACATCATGACACCAGGTGAAATCGACGTTTCTTTTCTCTCTCTCTCTCTCTCTCTCTCTCTCTTTCTCTCTCTCTCTCTCTCTCT